ACTCAAAAGACAGGTCCTGTGAATTCTTCTGAACGACGAAGTATGCCTCCGTACGGCAGACGTATTAAGAGGGTGAACGGCAAAAAATGGGACTGCTCAATTTTTTCGGTTTGAAGTTTTTTGTTTCGATCAACAACAAACAGGCCACAACTTGAACGTCGCTTACCGGTACATAGGTCGGTACATAAGCGACCTTCGCCTATTATTCTCGTAAGGCGCTAACGCTCCTCTCCCACAACCCTGCGGGTGGCGCCGTCAAGAACTCGAACAGGGTTTTTTGGACCTCTCTCATTCTTGCGCTGCTATACCGTAAAAGTCACGAAGCAATTGACATATCATTCAAAAGAGCTCTCCATGTTCTTTTGAATAATATACTGAACATATAGGCTACGCTGCAACTGGCGATCGCCCGTCCTCGATATTGGTGATCACCAGTTGCTAAAGTTGGCGAATGTACTTTAGGTAGCTATAGATTGTTGGGTACTTTTCCGTTATCCGGACCCATTTTTTCAAAAAGCTCTCATAAAATACGTTCTTCACTCTAACAAGGGAAGGATGCTTGGTGACCGTGACCTTTTGCAATGAAACGTATTCCATTAGATGCATCTTGAAGCGCTGATTCCAAATCTGCTTTCGATATCTGCTGTGCGCTCTTCCAAAAGAAGTTACAAGCATTTCTTGCTACAATAATTTGCAGTGTTTTTGACGCAGGATTCACCAATATCATTAGAATGTTCGTTTACGCACTACAAAAGAGCGTCCAAATAAAGCAAAGCTTCACTTTAAGCTCAGGAAAACTGTTTCCGATAAATCGGAGTCTAAAAGACCTAGATACTGACGATTCTGAGTGCGTAAATCTCGTAAAATCAATGTAGAAAAAGGTTAGTAATTTCTTTCATAAGGTCGCACAGCAGATAATGAACATAGATCTGGAATCAGCGTTTCAAGGCGCATCTACTGGTATACATATCATTGCAAAAGGCCACGGTCACTAAGTATCCTTCCCTTGTAAGAACAATTTTTTATGGATTCCACGAGGACTGCCTTCCTGCCACGTGTCAGGAAAATATTGACACGTTTTGGTCCGTTTTGACATGTTTTTTTCGAAACCGCTTCCGGTGAGGTAAAAGAGCATTTGTGATCTCTTAGAAGCTGTTTAAATGGTTTGTCTGAGAGCAAAACAATCTGAAATTTATTTCAGAATATCTTGATGGCTTTCAGCAGCGATTCAGCATTGTTTTTTTTCTTCAAACTTTTCGTCTTGCGAATTTAGCCAGACGAGACTATAAATGGTGGCTCAAAGTTCCTTGCTATTGCTTGTTTCGTCATTTAGATGATGGGATCCTAGTCCACTTCTCTACTCTTGGCAAGCCTAATCTGCTTAATTAGTAACAGAATGACATTATTATGATAACATTGCTCATTTTTGATAGCTTTATCGAAAATGGGGTCACTATTGACTAATAAGGAGATTGAACTTACGTCGCTAGGTAGGGCAAGTCAAACTCTTGGTTAAACCTGTCAAACATGTAAATGACATGTCAAATTTATTTGACACGTGGCAGAAGGTTGACACTCCTTCCTGTGAAGTCGGAACCAAATATGGTACGAGGGAAGAAGCAATATGCTTCTTTGAAAAAATGGGTCCGGATAACGGAAAAGTACCGATTGTTGGTATGTCTTTACTTGTCCAATCGATACGTACCTATATAATGTTAATCGCCAGAGCTGGCGATCGCCAGTCGCCAATATTGGCGACTATTTTTTTCATGTGTATTGATCGTTAACAAGTTACTACATGTTCAATCAATACGCATCCAACGTGGAGTCATCAGGCTCCCGCCAGAGTGCCGAAGCCATACAGGGCTACGCTAGCGCCGAGCCAGCGTTTCGATCAATACACGTGTATTTCGTTGGTGACATCTACCTGCTGAGAACTAGGTCAGCTAGCCCCGCCCCAACGAAATACACGTGAATCGATCGAAACGCTGGCTCGGCGCTGGCGTAGCGCTGGCATGGCTTCGGCACTCTGGCGGGAGCCTCAATATTGAAGATTGGCGATCGCTAATATTAGCGATTGGCAATCGCCAGTCGTAGCGATTGGCGATGCCAGGTCTCGGGACTACACAACTGCTACAACTGCTAAGTATCGACTGCATGTGAAAACTTGTTAGCGATCAACTTTTATCTTAAATGTGGTCGCCAGTATTTGTGGGTGGAGGAAAGAACACCTCAATCAGGCACCGCCTCCGCGGATTACTGATCCCAACGCGATGCAGAACAGTAGGACGAAAGGACCAACAGCTCGCGGAAGCGGTACCTAATTGAGGTATTCGTTCCTCCACCCAATATTTGTGACTGGCGATCGCCAATATCGGCGATTATAAATCGCCGATTTCACACGTATTTGATGCATATCGATCGAAGAGGTGCCATACTCCCCGAGGAGTATAGCGCTTATGTACCTTAGGCCTCGAGCAGAGTTCACGCGACTTCATTGTCGCGATTCATCGCGACAAGACAATTGTAACAATATCATTGCATGCCAACTTTCTTGCATTTCGGTTGTGATAGTTTTCCAACACGAATAATCGTGACTAACTATCACAACCGAAATACAAGAGGATCCACATGCAATGAATTCGTAACACTTGTCTTGTAGCGATGAAATCGCGTGAACTCCGCCCGAGGCCTTACACGATTTCAATTATAAATGGTTTGTATAAACATGAAGGCTATTGGCGACAAAAGCACAAAAGCAACCACAGGCGGGATTTATCAACCTCCTAAATAGGAAATGGTTCCTGTACAGGTAACAGCCCGTATAGGCGCGGGCACTAGCGCCCGCGATATATGAAGGGAAGCTGGTGACCTTTTCATTGAATATGGTCCGATCTGGCAAGTTTGGCCATGTCGGGCAGCGGAGCCCGACCGTCGAGATCGGGTCTGCTGCCCAACTGCCGTGCCCGACATGGTCAAAATTGCCAGATCGGACCACTTGATGAATCACGGGTAGCGCTCCCGCCTGTCCGAGCTCTCGTTAACAATGGCCCGAAAGCGATGAGAGATTGATAAATATCGCCCCAGTTGGGCGCGTGCAACCGCGGCGCCCGTATATAGCTTCATCGCTGTAAAGTCGAATCGTTTCATATGATCATGTGTGTTATTGCACGCACTGCCCACCTTTGGCATCCCCATCCTGGATTCTAGGAGTAGGCACTCCTTCAGATGAGTGTTTTCGGTGTGTTTTCTTTTCTTTCTAGGTATCAATCAACACATACTGGTGCGAGAGATAACAATTGGTTTTCTTATGTTTCTGCCATTGTAAATCCACGATGGGAATGCCAAAGGTGGACAGTGTGTGCAATAACCGCAGGAAAACGCCTCCCTGCAGGGTTACGGTAGGTATACAATGGAGGGTCAAAACCATAGATTTGGCTGAAGTTTAGCCTAGGGGGGTTATTCGGCCCACTGACGCCGAATATCACATTGGTTTTGTACCGTAGCGTCATTTTCTCGGGTTACGGTGGGTATACGGTAGGAGGTCAAAATCTCAAAATCCGCTGTAACTTCGCACAGAAGGCTTATTCGACATACATTAGAAATGTCACACTTTCTCCGCACGAAAACGTCTCCCTGCATGGGTACGGTAGGTTTACGGTAGGGGTCAAATCAAATCGGCAAATGTATCTTCCCCCTGTGCTTTGCTCAGGCAAAAGCCGCAGCAGAGTGGGTAGCGCGCGGCAGTGGTCGTGTGTGCAAAGCTTTACGATCGTCCGAATCGCCGTACACCCGTTTCAGGCAGAACTATATTTCACACCCGTTACCGTGTAGCAACCGTAACCCAAGAAAATGACGCTACGGTTCGAAACCAATGTGATATTTGGCATCAGCGGGCCGAATAACCCCACTATACGAAGTTTCGGACAAATCCGTGATTTTGACCTCTACCGTATCCTACCGTAACCCTGCAGGGAGGCGTACGCCCGCCGCGTTCCCCGATACCCTGCGCCTGATGCGCTCTGCGTGAAAAATCGCGTTCGCGCTCGAAAGTTTGGCCCTTCGTCCGGCAGCAGTTTTTAAGTAAAGCACGACAAGCATGAAGACTCTGCCAAAGCTTCCTGGCTTGTGGGATGATTAAATGGCTCTTGCATGCATTATGTCAGGGCTCGTTTGTTAGAAACGGGGATGAAGCGGCGCATATGTTGGCCTAAATTAGTGAAATCGAGGGTATAGGGCATTCAAGAAATTGTGACGATGGCGCGACCGCGCGCGACACGTACGCATTGACGGCAATCGCATTTTCTTGGTTTTCGTCTCCACATGAGTGGTTTTCTGCCCACATAGAATAGTTTAGACATAGAAAGTGGATGAGCTGCGGTGAGGTGGTGCCTTTTTGTATGTTTTTATGCTCCTGTGGGCGCAAAGACCACAGTCAAATCCGTTGTCACGATTTTAAGTATGACCTATAGCTCCAGTCTTTAACGATTCAAGCACCACTAGCTGATCTGACTCCATCTACTAAGGACTTTGAAAAGACCGGCTACACTCAAAAAAAGATCAAAAAATTTTATCAAATAAGCATAAGTTACATGATCTTGGACTCAAGGCACTCAAACGCTTCCACAATGAGAAATACGAAAGCGAAAAAAACCTGAGGCCTACAACTTGCATTTTATCCTTTCCCTCATTTCGGATGTGCCACGACTTAAGAAATGTGAGTTCAGTTCCGTGAATCTGGGAACTTACTGGCTAGGATCAATATACAGACTGCTGTGCAAGGTTCATCGTAGGGCTAGGAAGTTCTTTGGCACTTCCCTTTAGGTGCGTGAACGAAAAGTCTAGTCGACACCCACATAATGGTCGTGTTTTCCTTCACAATGAATTGAATCTATAAGTGCATGATGTTTCTTTTTTCTGCCTCTCATCTACTTCCTAACAGATCCAGAAGCGATAGTAGAGGTCATGAATGAAAAAGCGAACGATGGAATTTATGAAAAAAAAGCTTTACTGGATTATTTACAAGATGTAACACATATGCAAAAACTGGCGTTTCGTGACTAGAACGTCAGAAGCAATTATAAATCTCGCAAAAAATGATTTTCACAAAATGCACTGAGTTAAGCACCAAGAAAGACTCAATACTCGTCATCGTCCGAGTCCAAGTTGTTGCGGCGTCGATCAAACTGAAATCAGACATTGAATTTCGAATTTCAGGAATTTTTTAATGTCGGACATCCATACAACCCAAAACATATGAGGTATTTTGCGCCTTTCATTCTCACATAATTCACAAAATATCTCGAAACACTAGCGATTTCAGCATGAATAAGCAAAGGAAGACTCGTAAGAGAATCATCTCTAGAAAAGGTGATCCGAATCAGTTCCGAGCAGCAAAACCCCTCTGAACGTCAAGCGAATTCATGTTTGACCCATTTACTCATCAAAAGCTTGAAAAGGATTATGGAGCAGGGTCACCTTAACAGTAGTAGTTCGGGTTGTTTGCGTTGCAACTCGTTCCATCAGCTGCTTCAGTGCGTCATCAGACAATTTCCCAGCGATTTGACCGCGTCTAGAATGGCTGTTCAAAAGCCATTAATCAGTACTATTTCGTTACCTAGCCATGTTAATCAATGCAGATTCCACCATTTTCGCTTTATCTGGCTTAACAGCTGATAAATTGGAAAGACGCACGAGGGCCTGTTGATCGAGAATCTAAACAAAATCAAATGTCTGATGAATTGCATCCTTATGCCGAGGTCTTGGATAAGCAAAACAGGAACAAAAAAGTAATGATACATGAAACCTTATAAAGCTTACCTGTGATAACATCGAATTCACTGCATTTTCCTGGTTTTCGGCTTGCTGTCGAGCCTTCTCTTGAGCATTGTCGCTGCGACCTGGTGCCTATATACCGCATTTGAGCAGCAAGAGAAGTTTTGTCTCATAATAAGCAACCAATGAACGCACTTGAGCTTCTAACCCAGGCTGTAGCTGGGGCACCGGATTCATAGTGATCTTCTATAGAAACCACAGATGGATAGTTCGCGCTTTCTAGCAAGCAGCAAAAAATGAACGGTCTCGGAACTTTCTAGGCGAAGTTCAAGCGGGTGCGCTGCGGCTTTTGCTTTCGAGCGCCTCAGCTCCACAACAGCGCCTTTTTTGTCTCTCTCGCGTAAAGAAACGAATACATAGGAGATGATGTACGAAGAACGAGGTCATGGTATTTCAGGATTGTGTAGAAGTGAACGCCCGACCAATCGCTCAAGTGCTATATCATAATCTATCTAATCTAATATATTAAGAAATCTATCTATCTAATCTATCTATCTCTATCTAATCTAATCTATCTAATCTAATATATAAAGAATCGTTAACTCAATTCAAAAATGTGCAAATAGCGGGAAACCTCGGAGCGGTCCCGAAGCGCGCGCATGCTGCTATAGTCTGCCCAATCCCATGGGATGGTCAACCAGACCAAAATTGTCATGGTGGGAGTCGCGTCGCTAGGGTTTCGCGTTCACTCCCCAAGGCCTGCTTCTCTGCTCTCTCTGCAATCCTTCAGCTCTCTTCGACAGCGCGCATATGCAGCGCAGACCGCTGGCGCTGCGAGCGCGCAAATTTACGCCGACAGTTCGGCCTGATCCCGTTTTTTCACACTGCAGCACCTTCAGTTACTGGTGCACTAGTTTATTTAGATCGAAGAAGTGTTCGAGAAGGTTGGGAAACGTTCTCAATGTTAATCCCGCCCACATACAATGCGTTTGACGGATCCAGCGCCGCGTAGTGCAGTTACAGTCGAGTAGATTTCCTGCTTAATATAGTGTCCCTGCAGACGCGACAACGCTGAGGCGTCAATAATTGCCTGACGAGTTACCGAGCTAGTGTTTTCCAGTGTTTTCTTCGCTTATTCTATGCTTTTTAGGTGATTCGTTGCTAATAAAGAAGAAAGGGTAAGTTAGAAAGTAGTTTCTGTTTTCTGAGAAGTTTTATCGTCGGATATTTACAGATATCCACGTGGAAGCAGTTCGCGTCAGCTTCTTGTCTATTTTTTTTTGTCAATTCACATCTCTTTCTTCTTGTGAAGTACTTCTTTAAACGCTAGTGGGTTTTTACGATTGACTTATTGTCTTTATCACATGAAGTACTTGATTAAAATGCTATTTCTTATGGGTGAAAGCCGAAGTTGCTGCAAGACAAGCCAATTAGCGTTCAAAGAAACGCCTCACAAGAAGGAGGAGGTTTGAAAGAAGAAGAAGAAGTAACAGAAGAAAAGGAAATGACAAAAATATAGACAAGGAGCTGACGCGAAATGCTTCCACGTGGATATCTGTGAATATGCGATGATAGAATTCTCAGAAAACAGAAACTACTCTCTAACTTACCCTTTTTTTCTTTATCAGCAGCGACTCAACTAAAAAGCATGAAATAAGCAAAGAAAACATTGGAAAACACTAGCTCGGGAACTCGCAAAGCAATTACTGACGCCCTAGCGTTGTCGCGTCTGCAGGGACACTATATTAAGCAGGAAATCTACTCGACTGTACACACCTGTGCGCGAGCGCTACCGTCCTGCAGCGTGCAAGAACCATGCCGCGCAATACGGCGTGGTCCCTGATCTAGCCACTCTTCCTTCTTCTTTCTAAGCTTTTTCGCTGTCCTGGTTCCAAATTTCTGAGCTTTTCCTATCTAAAATCCTACTTCGGTGCTCTTCCTGAGATCTCTCAAAGTATCACTGCGCGAATTATAAGACAAAATGGAGGTTTGAGGTATAAAAGAAGATGTAATTTACACTATTTCTTTTGAGAATTCTGAGAACGGCTGGCGCTCTTCCTCTTTACCTAAAGGCGGATATGTGAGGTGTAATCGTATGTCTTATAGGTTGAGAGAACAATTTGAGTAAACAGGGCCAACGCGCGGTTCACTCAAACCTAGACGACATACGATATGCCCGCTGAAACAGATTCGATATGAATTATGACATCCGAGAAGATCAGCCATCTGAAGAAGGCTTGGATGAAATGAAAGATGTCACGAGAAAAAAGCTCGAAGATTTGATACCTCCTTCCTCAGCTACGAAAAAAAATCATATCCGGTATCAAGGCAAACCGTATATGAGCACAGAAGCAGGGAAAATGGCAATAAGCCGCTACAAAAAAGGAGAAATTCAGGGTCAAGCGTGGGGTGCGGCACGCCACACCCGGGGGGTGGTCGTATTGAGGAGTCAAAAGGGGAGGGGGTCGTAGTTGGGTAATCTGATAATAGTGATAACATGATATTTATATCATATCCATAACTAGTTGGAAAACCCGGCTCCGCCCGGGCCTATCAATGATATATTTGTGATCAGCATGCTCGATTACCCCCCTGTGCCAACTCCCAGCCCTGTAGCTCAAATTTTGCAAAAAATCGATAAAATCAATATCGATCGATGACGAAAAGTAGCCTATGACACCCGCCGGGGCCCGAAGTGTATGTGTGCCAAGTTTGGTCCGGATCGGTTCAGAAATGGAATTTTCTATTCGGAACATACGTACACACACACAGACAGACATACATACAGACAAACAGACATTCAGCTTTAAATATAAGATTTGGAGCCGAACGCCCCACCCATAAGAAAATTATGGCCCTTTCAATATGCCCATTCAGATCAGAATCAGCCGTCAAATTACGTGTGATTGTAAAGTGCAGTCACAGAAAATCGGGCGTACAGCTCTCAGAAATCTGAAAACTCTCTAAAAAAAGCTGGTGTCCTCCAGAATGTCACACTTTGAGGTCCAGTGGTTAAGAGGAAGAAGAAGGGGTCGTTTGAGGGCTTTCATGGGAGGGGGGTTGTTTTCGAAAGACTTGTGCCTGACCTCTTTCTTAACTCTGGTAATGCTATCTTAGGTATATAGTTCAGGGGGGGGGGGTCTTATTAAGACAGCAATCAGGGGGGGGGTCGTAACCAGCGATCATGTGCCACACCCCTTGCTTGACCCTGGAGAAAATACAAGATACAATGATAAAAACAAGGCCCGCGATATTGTTCGCAGCACAGTCTCAAGGGGGGGGGGGGGCGTTACCATAGACGCATCGTGCAGCTGCACGATGCGTCTGCCGTAACGCTCGTGCATAGATGTGTGACTGCACTCCGCGGCGCTGGCCTCGTTGAACGCATTGTATGTATAATTCCTCCACAACGGTAGACGGCATGCTCCATAGCTGAGATGGGTAGAGAACGAATACCGTCATTAGGTGCCTTGCGGACTACCGTCCTCGCGATATGCAGTAGCATAAGCAAGTGTAGATATGTCGAAAGGCGCGCGTTTTGGCAGTCGTCATTGCCAGGAGAGATTTGCACTCTACAAAGGCGATGTTTCCAACTCATAAATTTTTGTCATCATATGAGAATAGTAGCAGAGGATTATTAGTTGAATCCCGGAATAAACCAATTTCGAACTTTTTTCCTGGTTTTTCTGATTAGTGACAATCGATCAATACAGACCATTCGACCGTCTCCCATGAGCAGGGATGTCCACGGAGGCGGTGCGTAATTCGTTCCTCTATCCGTCCAAGGCAGTGTCCGGACAAGATGGGAGTTCTGGGATCTCACTGCCACTCACTTTCATTTCACTTTCGAAAGTGCCCCCCCCCCCCCCCCCCAGACAGGGAGACGGTCAAGAGGCGCGATTTCTCTGGCTGTCACCAACTTGAAACCCCAGTTTAGTACCATGCTATTCTACAAAAATTACCAGATAAAGTGCATTAGCTTACTGTCTGCCTGAGGTCATCACTTGCAGATTTTCATAGTTTTTGCTATAAATCGGAATGAAATATTTACGAATTTGTTCTGAAATGTATTTTCATGAGTTTTTGACCTTTAAAATTGCTCTTTTGAATTTTTTCTAAAGTATCAAGATTGAACAGCTCATGCAACTATCTAATACATCTTCTTCCAAATTTCATATACTTTTAGAAAGCTGCAGAACACTTATTATGTGCCATTTGGTGTCCAGCTGGCAATGTAAATCGCGCCTCTTGACATACTACACCCCCCCCCCCAGACACAGCACTGCGAAATTACGAGCTCATGATGTTCGACCTAAAGCAAGAAAAATGATCGGGAAGTGGGGGAACTTACGCCTTGGGGCCGGGGTCTTCCGACCCGCGAGTTCTCGCTATGCGGCAGAGTACGCAGGCCGTCACAGTTGAAATTGCAGGGTCCCGTAGTGACACTGCGTATCTGAAATGGCGGGGACCGTCGAATTTCAAATTGTAAGGCTTTGGAAAACGCATGTTCTCGCCGTTTTTGTGCCTTTTAATGTGGATTTTCGGATTCAATGTTGAGGATAACCCCCGGTAAGAGGATTTGGTACTATTCCACATTAGTTGACCCAAAAAATGAAAGTCGATTTTGTTGAAACTTCATCTAGAAGGGGTTCATTGCACGCTGATTACGAATATCACACTCTTTCGCACCGTAGTGCCATCTGATGGAGTTACGGTAGGTTTACGACATGGGGGTTAAAATCACAGATTTGCGCTAAACTCCGCCTAGGGAGTTATTTGGCACGCTAAACACGAAAATCATATTCATTTCGCACGGTAGCGCCTTCTTCCGAGCTACGTTGGACATACAGTGTATGGCTGAAAATCCCAAATTTGCTCAAACTTTGCCTAGAGGGATTCCTAAGCACGCTGATTACAAATAACGTGCCGTTTTTGCCGTGCTGATCACCTACATCGCACTCGTCTCGAAGGATAAAGCCTTTCGTGGATTTTTGGCATCTAAATTTGCAAAAACGAAAAAGTTGCTCTTTCACGCACTATAGCTCTACAATAGCGCGAACGCGCTTGATATCTGCAATCAGCATGCTTATGAACCCCTTTAGGCAAAGTTTTGGGGTAAATTCGGGATTTTTAGCCATTTACCGTACACTCACCGTAACCCGAAAAAATGGCGCTAACTCAGACAATCGCTGGGGGCAGGCGGGCACCGGAAAAATAGATTGCTGATTTCTCGCACCCCGCTCGCGGATTTTTTGCAAAGCAATCAAGACTTTTCGGAAGACCGCTTGCTGAGTCAGCGGATTTTTGAGAGACCGCCTGTTGAATTTTTTTCGCTTTTATCTTTTGCAGATATATTGCTGAATCTCTGAGGAATCGAGAACTCAGCAAGCGGT